GCTTCAGTACAAAATACCTTTAGTGTGGCTTAACAATGGCAAATTAAGAACAAAAATAAAATTACAAATTTCTTGAATTCAGAGGTGTTATGACCATTAATATTACCAAATAACCACTCAGGGGACCTCTGACTTTTCAAATGACACCTCATTAGTGGAATTGCTTACATAGAAAAGTAGAAAAAGGGAGACTAACAAAAAAACACCTTAGATAACTAGTATTATGACCACTAATATTACCTAATAACCACTCAGGGGACCTCTGACTTTTCAAATGACACCTCATTAGTGGAATTGCTTACATAGAAAAGTAAAAAAGGGAGACTTACAAAAAAACGCCTTAGAGAAATAATATATAAGATGTGTGCGACCACCACTGTCGTATGTGGTGTATGCGATGCTGCAGTCACAGTAGTGCTTCAGTACAAAATACCTTTAGTGTGGCTTAACAATGGTAAATTAAAAACAAAAATAAAATTACAAATTTCTTGTCTTCAGATGTGTTATGACCATTAATATTACCTAATAACAACTCAGGGGACCTCTGACTTTTCAAATGACACCTCATTAGTGGAATTGCTTACATAGAAAAGTAGAAAAAGGGAGACTAACAAAAAAAAACACCTTAGAGAAATAATATTATGACCATTAATATTACCTAATAACCACTCAGGGGACCTCTGACTTTTCAAATGACACCTCATTAGTGGAATTGCTTACATAGAAAAGTATAAAAAGGGAGACTAAAAAAAACGCCTTAGAGAAATAATATATAAGATGTGTGCCACTGTCGTATGCGGTGTATGCGATGCTGCAGTCACAATATTGGTTCAGTACAAAATACCTTTAGTGTGGCTTAACAAAATAAATTAAAAACAAAAATAAAATTACAAGTTTCTTGACTTCAGAGGTGTTATGACCATTAATATTACCTAATAACCACTCAGGGGCCTCTGACTTTTCAAATGACACCTCACTGATGGGATTGCTTACATAGGAATGTATAAAAAGGGAGACTAACAAAAAAACGCCTTAGAGAAATAATATAGAAGATGTGTGCGCCCACCACTGTCGTATACGGTGTATGCGATGCTGCAGTCACAATAGTGCTTCAGTAGAAAATACCTTTAGTGTGGCTGAACAATGGTAAATTAAAAACAAAAATAAAATTACAAATTTCTTGACTTCAGAGGTGCTATGACCATTATTATTACCTAATAACCACTCGGGGGACCTCTGACTTTTCAAATGACACCTCATTAATGAAATTGCTTACATAATAAAGTAGAAAAAGGGAGACTAACAAAAAAATGCCTTACAGAAATGCTGCAGTCACAATAGTGCTTCAGTACAAAAAAACCTTTAGTGTGTCTTAACAATGGTAAATTAAAAACATTGTTATGACCATTAATATTACCTAATAACCACTCAGGGGACCTCTGACTTTTCAAATGACACCTCGTTAGTGGAATTGCTTACATAGAAAAGTAGAAAAAGGAAGACTAACAAAAAAAGCGGCTTAGAGAAATAATATATAAGATGTGTGCGCCCACCACTGTCGTATA